CAGTTTGTCAATTTATTGATAAAAGTACAGGGTTTATGAAGGTATAGTTTCGATAGATCTCTATGAGTGGCACAGAATCAAAATAATACTAACAATTCATTGGTTAGTAGGCTATCTTTCAACTTCTACCAAAGTTCTGACGTATACAATATGTTATTTTTGCCAAATTATGGATGTTGAATAATGCTTAATCCCTTAAAGGGACACTCCACTGCCAAATGCAAAATAAATACAAATCAATGTTTAATAGATATACCCCAAATGAATACATGCACACATTTAATTATGCATTTTTTTATTGGGGGTATATTTCAAATCTGTTTGCAAAAGCTGCAGTTCTCTGTTCTGAAGCCTTTGCAAGCCCTCCCATTCTAACCCCGCCCAGACTTTCTGTAGCTGTCCAATCACAGACTTTCCAATGCAGATTAATGAGAAGTCTTTGCAAGGCAGGTACTCTGGGCAATTTCAGCCACCATTGAGCTAGACAACCAGGAAGTAATAGAAGCTGCTGTCTGCTTGAAAGCCAAGAGGGTGTAACCAGGTAAATTTCTGCTAAAATCTGCACCTTTTTAAAATGAAAATAAGATAAATACACTTTACACATACAGCTCAGCAACCAAAAATGTTTTAGGGGTCTGGAGTGTCCCTTCAATTGCTGATCACCAAAAAACTCTTAATACTGTCATATGTTTATTATTTTCTCACTGCAAATGTATCACACTGCACTGCAAACATTCTGCTCTATCTTTAGATATATCTATGTTAGTGGCATCTGTGAGATATCACTTACGGTAATTTGCAGTTTATTCTTATTTGTTTATGACTAAACTTAAGCCTTGATATTATCAGGCACTGTAGTCGGAGTTGTGGCAGATGAGTACAAGATAAAAGGACAAAAACAACTTTATCTGAGGTTATAGAGCAGCCATAATATGACTCAGCATGATTTAACTTTAACTTGAAAACGTATTCTTTCTCGTTAATTTTCTTAGTGTGGTATAATTTGAATATGGCTTCCTAGCACACAAATTGCTGTATTTGGTTCAGAATATCTAACAAAGAGGTACCTAGTCAGATTACTCCTTAGCAGTTGTAGTAAAGCAACATTTACAACTTTAAGATATTTGGGTTTAAAAAAAAATAAAAAAAAATCATTAATTAAACCTGCATTTTGTGCTGGCATTAATACAAAATTAAAGTGTAAATCTTTTACTTACTGTTGTATATTGCACCAAAACAACCTTGAGTTCATTGATGGGAAACTTGATATGAATGACAGTGCTGATTAAGCTATAATAGAATCAATTATTCTGTGCGACTGAGTGAAAGATACTGTAATCTCTGTACAGTTATCCTCTCTCCTCCTTGCTCTTTTCATATCAGACTGAGCTGGGATTCCAGAGCCAAGGGATTGGAAAGGACACTGTGGAGGTTTACGGCATAGAACGAATGATCCATTCAGACGATGTTCCCATTACGTGGCACTGTTACTTTCTTTCAGATGGGTATGTCTTGATATCAATCCCTTCTCCATCATCATACATCATAAAATGAATGCTTTTTGGAGATAATTCATGTTATACTTAGATCATAGGCATTAAGTGTGTTATTTAAAAGTGTAATAAATACACTGCACTCAGCTGACACGCTTGAATTTTTGTTTTCATAATGAAGTTATTTTCCTATTTTAATACTACTCTTACCTCCCAGGCACTTGGCTAGCAGAGTCCAGATTGGATCACCGGTTATCATAAGACTTTCCCGGATGCCCATATTGTCTGAACCAGGTAAGACACATTTTCAGAACTTCAGGAATCTAATGCAAACAGCGTCAAAGACGACAGTGTCTATAGGCAATGAGAGCATTCCCCTACTTAAGTCTGTGGACCACGACTCTTCAGAATATATGACAATTGCACATTATTTGAAACAGTGGCATAGCACGCTGGGAGATGGAGTCCACAACAGCCGGAGCTCAAGATTCAATTAAATGTTGTTCAGAAAAGGATGCAGTCATTGTTTGTGGTGTCCATCTTAAAATACAGCAGTTGCATAGTGTTTGCCCAGAGTGGTGCTTCGTAGTGCGCAAACTACATGGGTGGCAGATTGTGACTTGCTGGGTGGGCTCAAGACGGTGGATGTGTAAAATGTGAACTATGATGTCATGTTTTTTATTTGTTTTAGATGAACAAGACCCTAAACCTGTGTTTGGAAGAAAACCTCTGATTTGGCAAGAGGATGTGCAGTTATATTCCAATTATCTGGACAGAAAGGTGTGTGTATATCCTGCCTCGTTAAAGTCTTTAGTGTCATGGTGTATTCACCCCAGATAGTAAATCCATACTGAAGTATTTACTCACTAATAACTGAACTGAAAGCAGAAAAGCTAAATATGGGCCAATTGTTTGGCTATAGTCATATTTCAACTAGAACTCAGTTTAGTGAATAAGCTCTGCCTTTACCACTCCACAGCTACGAGTCTCATGGGGAAACCCTAAAACCAGGAGGTTTTAAGTAATGAGAAAATATGAATAGAACCCTGAGAGATATCCCTGGTGTGTTTTATGGTGCACAAGTACAGCTGGCATTCAAATGATTAAAGATATTTTCCTGATTCCCCCATGTTACAGAATACACTCCTGGCAGACAAGTAGAAAAATGGCTACAAAAATACACACACTATTTTCATAATTCAGATTCACTCGTAATTGTCAGCTGAACCAGTCAAAGCTCATGTTTCCATTTCAGGCAGAACTTATCGCAGGCCATGAAACCTACCTCCGCCGGCACCCGGAAATGAAGATACTCCTGGCAGATTTCATGCAGTTTCTACTCCTTAGAAAGCCCGAGGATGTCATAACATTTGCTGCAGAATTCTTTGGACCATTTTCAACTGCTCAGAAACGTGGTGACACATTTAGGTCTTCTACAATCCCAAACCATTTCCAGGTCATTAAAGATAATTAAACTCTGTACTGTAATTGAAAGGATTGTCTCCTCTGCTTGAACAAAGACACCAGGAATCTCGTATCTAAGTTATATCGTTAACTTAGAGAAGGAATGGTTTTTAATAAAAACACTTAAAAAAATGTGAGTGACGTGATATATCAGAGTGGAAGATGTTCAGCAAAAGGCTGTAGGTGCCTGGAAAAGCCTTTAAGACAAAATGTTAAACGTCGACGTATTTTAGGAATTGAATTCACACGATGTCCACTCTGGTAGCATGCTTGAGCCAATCTATTTAAAGTTCAGCCAAGTCTGGATTGGGATGGGAAGGATTTGTTTAAGAGGTTAACATTATACACTGGTTATTATAAGGGAAGGGTCCAAATTCAAAGTTGAAATAACTGAGTTTTAAATTTTTCTGGTCAGATTAGAAGACTGCCAACCTTATCTGTACTTCCATAGCCCCTCTGATACAAAGAAAGATTGTGTTAACATGAATCACAGTCACAAGAGTCAATAGGAACTGCACTCAATCCACATCAGCCAAGAGGGTGCTTAACTAGACCATGGGCCAGCACCAGCCTGACAGAATATAGATGACAGTTGAAAAGAAAAGAAAAAAAAAAAAAAAAAGGTCCATGCACTCCAGTGTTTTATATGCACATTTATTGGAACCAAGGCAGGTGCAAGTATTTTTGGCTACATGGGTGAAGCTGCATTTTGCCTGCCCCCTCTGCAAAAATGCATCTTCACCTGTGTCTCGACAGAGACATATATATATATATATATATATATCTCTCTTATCCCCCCCCTATTTCTTTTTCATGTGTTTCTTACAGCCCCTCGCCTCTTGTGTCTTACTCCCTTTCCATAGGTCTTATTTTACCTCACCACATATAGAACACACTACACAGTTTTCCATACTGACTCACCCCCATACAAGTTTGAGGACACCCAGAAGGCACTGCTTCCCTGACCTATACCTAGATACAGAGTTAGACCCTGGTTTGGGAAGTACCAGCTACCATACCCAGATTTTACAAGCACTAGGAACCTCACCTGTTCATGTATTCAAAGAGGGTCTTTGAGCTACTTCACACCAAGAAATGCCATTTTATTTTCAGTGGAAAATAAAGTGTAATACAATGAGAGTATGATAATTAAGTACTTCATTTGTTATTCACCAGATGTCAATACAGCACAATTCAAGCCCTTTATGGAATAGAAGAAAAAAAAAAAAAAAAAAAAATTCACACCCACAAGGCAGGAATAAATTGGCTATAGGTTTTTTTATACTTCCATTGTATGGTTGGCATGTTCTCAGTGATATTGTATCATGGCAGCCCATCTATTGCCTTAATTGGGTTTTCCGGTTCTGCTCCATTCAGGAGATAGATGGCCTTAATATTTGTACCTGCACCTCCTGACTGCATCATGTTGCGTGCAACCAACGCATGATGAGGTCATACATCGCATGTGCTAGGGCAGTCCTCGTTTCAGAAAGTGGATTATCTAGCATGTTTACTTAGTGTATTGCAGCACTAAGTGCAAAAAAGGTACAGCACCCAGACTACTTAAATTAGCTGAAGTGGTCTGGGTGCCTACAGTGTCACTTTAAATTTTATCCTGTTCCTCATTTTTTATTTTTGCAACACTGGGCATGTACCAAGTTGAGCTTGATCACTTTATTAATAATTGCACCAAGGACTAATTGTGCTGTCTTGACATATGTGAGTACCAAATGCTACTTTTACCCACCAATTGTATTATTGCATCATCCCCCTCCTATTACCCCCATATTAAAAAACAAAACAAAACACAAATTTAATTTCTTGATGTGACGTAACCTTGACAGAGACCCTCTTGGAGGTCGGAACATCAGTGGTCCCAATAACTGCCTATAAAGCATTGGAGTTCCAGGACCTTTTCTTTCAGTGATACTTGTTAAGTCACAACCCCTTGGATGACTTTGACAAAGCTCCAGTCAGGACAGAACGCCCTGATACTAGAGCTGCAGTGACCGTCATTAACATAAGGATCGGAATTAAGTCATGCAGAAGGCCTGTACAATAACCTTAGCATGAATGGTGTGTCCTTTCACAATATTTAGAAATATCTACATCAGCTTTCTACAGGAGGTCAGGGGCATGAGAACTTCCTGCATTCAGAAGATTGGATGAGACATGTGAGTGCAGAAAGGAACGATACTAGTCTTTAAATGAAGTCCTTCACAGAATTTGTGAAGTAATCTTTATTATAAGATTATACATGAGGTGCCACATCACCAGGAACTCAAGATGAACCATGTAGATTAAGAGAGTCCAGCCATGAACTTTACTTTCTTCTGACAAATGCATTTCCAGGTTCAAATGAAGCAGAGCTTGACTTGGTTATAGCAGTTTCACAGCATTGGGGGAATTTTTTTTTCCCCCCCATAAAAGATCTTTGACTTCTAAAAAAAATTTAAACAAAAGCCACAAACATAAGTCAGACAACTGCAGCTAGGCTACTATACCCATTATAGTAACAGAGAGCCAATGGTAAGCCTGCATTACGGGTTCTATATTAGTGGCATTCACACAGTTATTGGTTACTCTGTAAGAGAGTTTAAGACATGTTTGGTTGAGGTCAGTTTTGAGTTCGCTTCAAGGAGTTTTGTCATCGAGCCTCTTCCACAGAGAGAACTGCTTGGAGAGGCTCTGTAATTCGGCCTTTTATGTCATCATCCCTCAGTACCATGTCTCATGCCCAGACATCAAGAAGCCTATGGAACATGGCTGCACCAGGGGCTTTAACCCCAGTGAACATTACATTCAACCAATTCAGATCAGACTAGAAGTTGTACTTACACTGATGGTCAGCTCTACACATTAATCATCTTGCATGGACTCCATAAAGCAGGCTTTGGCATTGGGACCAGCAAGTCATCCACAGTATACCTGTATGGAGAAATAAATGTATTGTTACATCTTACACATGAGTAATAGAATCCAGAAGCAGAGATACCTAGTCCATGGATCAAATGAGAAGCTTTCATTTAAAAGGGACACTAGTCACTTGAACTTCAACTTAATGAGGTTGTTCAGGTGAGTGCTACAGCTCCCTGCAGCCTTTTTCTTGTAAGCACTGTATTTGCATAGAAAATAAATAGTGTTTACATTGAAAGCTAGGAACACCTCTAGTTGCAGGTCAAACGGTCACAGGGACTTAGAGTTCAGAAAAAAACAAAAAAAAACCCACCCTCATTCACGTCTGACGTATTCACGCGTGGGTGAATACTTCAGACGTGCCATCATCACACAAAGCACTGGGAATACGCTTTGTGTGCTGAGGCTGTCAGCACTGCGTGGAGTGGCTTGAGCACACAGGCTGGAGGATCCAATCTGTAAGTAAACTTGTTTAGTGGGTGAGGATATGGATGGAGAGTGTGTGTATGTCTTTAATTTATAACGATATAGATATCTAGTGTTTCTATGCAAACACCGTTTGGTTGAGGAGGGGGGCAGGTATAGAAAGCAAGCTGAGCTGTCAGTTAGACAGCTCAGCTCGCGAATGCGCATTCTGCGCGGTAGAGGCGCAGAGTTCATTCATAGGGCGGCATCCAATGCAGCTCTATAAAGAATGCAATTGGTGCAGAGCGAAGCCATGCATGCGCACCAGATTGCACTAAGCCAAGTTTAGCGAGGACAGAAATACAAGAGAAGTTTGGAAATGTAGCAGGTGCTATGTGCAAGCTAGTTATATAAAGCAGTTCTAGGCCCATCTAACCATTCATTTTACAGATAACCGGGATACAGCCAGTCATTTAAAGGGACAGAAGTGTAACAGGGATAGCCAGCATTAAGGGTTCTATGTTAGCCACATTCACAGTTATTGCTTACTCTGTAAGAGAGTTTAAGACATGTTTGGTTGAGGTCAGTTTTGAGTTCGCTTCAAGGAGTTTTGTCATCGAGCCTCTTCCACAGAGAGAGCTGCTTGGAGAGGCTCTGTAATTCGGCCTTTTATGTCATCATCCCTCATTACCATGTCTCATGCCCAGACATCAAGAAGCCTATGGAACATGGCTGCACCAGGGGCTTTCATTCCAGAAGCAAATCTTTAATATGCCAGCCAAGGAAGGGCATTACCTTAGTGAACATTACATTCAACCAAGTCGGATCAGACTACAAGTTGTACTTACACTGATTGTCAGCTCTACACATTAGTCATCTTGCATGGACTCCATAAAGCAGGCTTTGGCATTGGGACCAGCAAGTCACCAGCCACAGTATACCTGTAAAGAGAAATAAATGTATTGTTACATCTTACACAGGAGTAATAGAATCCAGCAGTAAAGATACCTAGTCCATGGATCAAATGAGGAGCTTTTATTTAAACTAGAGAAAAGCTGCAGAGGTCAGTTCAGTTTTCGCTTTAAGCGGATTTGTCATTGTCCTGCTCTACAGAGAGAACTGCAATTCGGCCTTTTCTGTCATCATTCCCAGCAGCACTAACCCAAGTTTAGTGAGAACAAAAATACAAGAGAAGTTTGGAAATGTAGCAGGAGGTATGTGCAAGCCAGTTATATAAAGCAGTTCTGGGCCCATTTAACCCGTGTTTTTACAGATAACCGGGATCCAGCCAGTCAGTTAAAGGGACAGGAGAGTAACAGGGATCCAGCCAGTCAGTTAAAGGGACAGGAGAGTAACAGGGATCCAGCCAGTTAAAGGGACAGGAGAGTAACAGGGATCCAGCCGGTCAGTTAAAGGGACAGGAGAGTAACAGGGATCCAGCCAGTAAAAGGGACAGGAGAGGTTATTCAGGGTAGCTTACCTTATTCATGGCTTCCTATGGAGCAGGTACATCTTGCAGTCTGTTTCCGATCATTCAGGGAGGGAGCAGTGTGTCCGGCCCCCGGCTGGAGCTCGGTATATCGGATCGGTCCCTGAACCCCCATCCTGTATGGAGGAAGCTGAGCGAACACCGGGACCGAGCAGCCATTCCCACGTGTATAGCACAAGCAGCACAGCGCCCTCTGCCGGACACTCGGCAGCACTGCTAGTTAAAGGGACAGCGGGCTATACCATGTTCGCTTTCAGGGGGAGGAGGGAGAGTTTAAGTAGTTGCCCAGAGGCTGCCATCATGCAATGCTTGGTATTTAGCAGCTCAGGGAGGATATCTCCACCTAACTGGCCCCTTAGCAGCGCTGGGTTTAGGAAATACCCGAGAGCCTGCCATTACTTCTGTATAGCAGAGCCCAAGGGACCCCCTGCAGGATGGACCCAGCCCAGGGAGCCAGCATTGCCTCTGCCCCACACAATCCAGGGAGCTACCAATACTCTGCATGTGATAAAAGCCAATGTTCCATTCCAAGTTACTGAGCCCACATGGACCCCAGCTATACAGGAAAGGAGCCCATCACTGGCTCTCACTCCTGCAGTAAACATGTGCTACCTTTCACAAGGACAGCCCAGGGCCAGTGACTTGGTAGCCCTATTCCATTTTAGGGGATACTGTTACTAAAGCTGGCTACATCAGTCATTACACATAGCTGGTTCTGTATAGACTGGTGGATCAATAAGGAACATTCCATTGTTGGCTATGGCTCCCCTTCCTCCAGCAATGTTCTTCATACATAACCCATATTTTGTGGTCAGGTTCAGCTCAAGGTTTGGTTTTAACGCTAGATATCCCGTTGCTTCTTCCCCATAAAGGAGATCTTTAAGTTAAAATGTCCCTTTAATACATATTCATATTAACAGAAAACAAACATTTATAAGTTCAAATGACAATTTAGTTTATATCATTTCTGAAGATTTATATTAAAATAAAATTCGATGTTAAAGCATATTAGGCCTGATGCCATCAATACAATGGAGGCACATTAGATGTTACTTGGAGTCCCCTGCCATGGGTGTCCTGGAGACGAGTCTCAGGGCACAGTTGACCTCCTGGCTGGTTATAGCATGTCTCATGTTGTAAAGAGACAGTCTGGCAGCTTCTGCAGCAATATCATGCAGTCTCTCACTGTCTAACATGTCTTTATTCAGACAATCCAACGCCGTCTGAGACTGGGTGGCTTCTGGAAGGACCTAGGACAGCAATCAAATAAGACATGTTAAGCCAACATGATACATTGAGTCAGACTCCAGAGCCATTAAAGGTCAGAGGATGGTGTGATGTATCACTGTTCTGAGAGGTTCTGTGTGTAACAGCAGCATGTTGGCATCTTTGAAGGTAGTATGATGCTTGGGAGAGTGCCCCCAAACAGAGCCAGCTGCCCAGATGGGGCATTATCTTAACAGTTATTAAAGCTACCAATACAAGGATAAGTCCGTCAGTTAATGGGACAGGTTATTTAAAATGGATTAGCCATCAGTGTAGGAATGCTATAGGACTACAGGGTACAACGTTTCATGCTCTGCCCATCAGCAGTAATAGAGGCCAAGAATTACACAGCCTTGGTTTTTATATTCATATTCTCCTGTAATATGAGCCAACTACAAACTGACAGGATTATTAGACTTGGCTGATGAAATAACTAACTCCACCATTCTGGCATAGAGCTCCAGTTCTTTGCAATACTGATTTTACTCCAGAATCCTCATTAATGGCATCCCAGGGTCATATTGCAAGGCCCTGCAGTGGATAAAGAATTTATACCTTAGGGTACAGTTGAGTAAGACTACCTACCTGCTTTACAATCCTGTAGAGATGTTTGGAGTAGCTCTTTTTGGGTTTCACCATTACTGGCAAGGCTTGCATACTGCCACAGGGAGCTGCCGCTGACTTCTTGGCTACAACAGGTTTCATCTCAGCTATAAAGATCTAGAAGACAGATCACACCAATCTATATCCATACAGGGAGAGGGAGAGCAAGGGCATCATCCCAGGTGTGTACTATTGGTAAAGAGGGCCTGTCCCTGACAAGTGAACATTTAAAATCCCACCAAGGCAGTGTTTGCTCAGCACATACATACAGAGAGACTGCCAAGCCAGGCCTACCAGTTCTCAGCACGATACTATACCCACTATGCCAGAGGTAGACAACCTTCAGCATTCCAGATATTGTGGACTACATCTCCCAGAATGCTGACAAAGCATGTGGAATATGTAGTTCATTCCATGAACAAGTGTGACCAATATGCAGTTTGAGAAAGCATAGCTTCTCTAGTCTTGCCAGTAACTCACGAGTTCCCATGAGAGCTAGATACAAAAAGTCTTAAAGGATAGAGAGTTCTATTGCATTGTAGCAGAAAGGGTTTTAGCTAATACAGGAATTAGTTCTAGAAAACCAGTGACTCCTTGCCCATGAGCCACTGCATGGATCAGACATAGTTACAGCACATAATGGGTTTAATAAGACACATGGTACTTATTCCAGGATGCCTTACAGAGAGGTCTAGATATTTTCATATAATGCACACCTCAAGCCATGGTCTACAGGACACAAAACATGTAAAGACGAGTATTTTCTGGACAGTTCACAGCTATGTAAGAAGGGTTAGAGAGTTTCCTCCAATGCACACTGATTATTGCAGAATAACAAAATTATACAAAAAAAAAAACTGAGCATCTGCTGACTATGAAACAACATAAACCCCAAGATTTCAACACCACTGAATTACTGAATTACTGAAAACCAAGTACACCCATCCAACAGTCACTGACTCACCAAAACAACAAGCACCAGGCTGTAACTTACCTACCTTCAGTGCTCAGACTTTATACCCACCCCAGCTGGGACCGCCCATTAATCATTGGATCACTATGCACAGCTGGGACTCAATTATCCCAATTAACAGACATCAGGGGCAGTTATGTCGTCTTGGCAACTAATTTGCAACATTGAGACCACAAATAGCAGGACTGAAATGAAAGCTCCTCATTTTATCAATGTTTGCATGTTTCAAAGCCAGGCTTTCCAAACTCCAGCCCTCTAGATGTTGCTGAACTACAACTCCCATGATTCTATGAATGAAATAGATAGGCTGAGAATCATGGGAGTTGTAGTTCAGCAACATCTTAAGGGCCGGCGTTTGGGGAAGCCTGCTCTAAGCCTTCCCAATTCGTTGTTAAGTGAATAGAACGTTGTGTAACGTCATCAGATACACTCTATTTGCACTGAACAAATCGGTCTGTCACGTAAACCCCAGACCGATTGATTCGGTGATTTCTACGCACGTCTACTATTTTCTTAGATGTAATTACCTTCCTTAATTAAATAGGTAAGACATGAAAAGTGCTGGCCTGCAGAATTAATATGCCGCAGAAGGGAACCAGTGTTCCATTGGAAATACTTAACTGAATTCCCTCCTGCCGCGTATGAATTCTACATACTGCAAGGCTTCAATATAATACGGATCCAGGAGAAACATGGGAGCGGGGCTGCAAATTTATAGCTATATAATGTAAAATTCACCAATGTTGCCATATTCATCATGATTTCCTGGACTAACTTAAAGGGACTCTCCTGTGCTAGGAAAACAATCCGTTTTCCTGGCACTGCAGGTCCCCTCTCCCTCCCAACCCCGGTTGCTGAAGGGGTAAAAAAAAACCTTCAGTGACTTACTTGAGACCCCCGGCCAATGTCCCTCGGCGGTGGTTTCGGGTCGCCGCCGCCGCTCCTCCTCTTCATTACGTCAGCCGAGACTGATCCCACCCGCCGGCTGAGGAGCATTAGAGCTCTCCATAGGAAAGCATTAAAGCTTTCCTATGGGGAATGTAGCGATGCTGGAGGTCCTCATGCAGCGTGAGGACGTCCAGCGACGCTCTAGCACAGAAAACCTGTGCTATGAAGCAGGAAGTGCCCTCTAGTAGACAGCCACTAAAGAGGGAGTTAACCCCGCAAGGTAATTATTGCAGTTTATAAAAACTGCAATAATTACAGTTGCAGGGTTAAGGGTAGTGGGCAGAAGTGGTCTGGGTGCCTGGAGTGTCCCTTTAACCACTTTCTTCTGGGACCATTACCTGGAGGATGGAGGGGTGCCACGGAGAGGGGGGATGTTGCAGAGAGGATCCCGGGAGGAGGGGGGCCCGGGGATCCGCGGCTGGGCGGGAGGGGCTCTGCGTCCACACCATAGAGTTTTTTTAGGTCGGGATTCTGGAGGGGGGAGGGTACCCTGGGCTTGAGTTTTAGTTTGTTAAATTGTTTACTTTGTACTTTTGGACAGCTTGATACCCTTCCTCTTTTTACTAAACATGCAGCACAGAACTGAGAGCACTTGAGATATTTATGATGCTATATAATCTTGTTATACTGTGATGCAAGATTCATGTGTTTGCAATGCAAGGAACTTGCGCCTTCCACTGTGATACCAATCGTTTAGTAATCGTTTTATTTTAAATAAAAAGAAAGTTACAAAAAAAAAATTTTTCCTGCTGATGGGCAGAGCATGAAAAGTGCTTCAGAAAGGAAATCAGTTCACAAATCAAGCCAATTAGAGCTGGCGATCCATTCTTTCTACAGCATATGACTGCTACATACAGGACTGCAAATTTAGAGAGAAATCACTGACCAAACAAGATGATGATGAAATATTAATACAATTTCTAAAACTTCACCTTTATTGTTATGTTAAAAAAGGGGAGGGAGGGGGAAAGTATTTCAATAATTAGTATAACTCATGGACACAAGGTATGTTCAAAATATTGTCCTAGTGTGACAAGAAAATGAGAAGGTACAGATAATTCAATGAACAATGTGGAAAAAGTGTGGTTTAGAGATCGGTGTAATCAAGCAATATAAAGCTAAATCCCCTTATCTGTTTCGTAGGAACCGATCTCTGCACCAATCTCTGAACCTCATTCTTTGTAAATATTCCCTTTCATTGTTAATGAACACTTTATTTCATTTATTTTTTCACACTTTTTCCGTGTTGTTCATTGTATTGTCTGTACCTATACACAGATTGATCTATACTTTCTCCTTTTCTGGTCTCATTAGGACAATATTTTGAACATACCTAATTGTGTCCTTGATTTATACAAATTAAAGGGACACTATAGTCACCTGAACAACTTCAGCTTAATGATATAGCTCCCTGCAGCCTCTCATGTAAACACAATTTTCTGAGAAAACACAGTGTTTACATTGAAAGCTAGGAACACCTCCAGTTGCAGTCACTCACAGTGAACCAGAGGGACTTTGGAGTTGAGGGAGGCATAATATGCCTCCATTCACTCAGATCTGCTTTCAGCCGAGCACAGGGCAGCATCCTGTGAATCAGTGTTTCCTCCCTCTGCAAGCAGACACTGAACTTTCCTAAGATATTCATTGATTCAATTCATCTCTATGAGGAGATGATGATTGGCCAGGGCTGTGTTTGAATCATGCTGGCTCTGTCAGTTTCAGCCAATCCTATGGGGAAGCACTGTGATTGGATCAGGCTACCACATCAGCAGACTGCTTGTTTTTCTTGCGTCTAACAGCATGCAGATTTACAGCTGCAGGCTTGGATACAGTAAGATTTACTATATTTATGGAGGAATGAGGGGCCCAGTGGGGCTAGATGGTGCTGTTAACACTGTAGGGTCAGGAATACGTTTGTGTTCCTGACCCTATAGTGATCCTTTAATTTTTTTGTTGTAAAAACACCTGAGGAAATCTATTCTCTTCCCAGCTGAAATATCCTTCCAGGATGGTAAGTGGCTGCTGGGGACACAGGATGAAGTGGTTGTTCTGACCACCAACTCAACATGGTGTCTTGTGAAATTACATGCGTGCAACATACTTGCAGGGTGAGATGTACACTGTGGCAAATACTTGTTCCCTAAACATCCAGTTGTGATCGGCAAACTGTGCACAGAAACATCCAAGCTGCGACCGTAGCAGAATTGCCGCATTTCTACTGAATTTAGTAATTTGTTTTTCAATTCACTGGAGTTTAGAGTCAGTAAATAAACCCCATGGAAGGCTTTTATGTGTGGCAGCAAGGGTAATTGCTCCCCTGTCCATCTGTCACAGAAATGGAGTGTAACAAAGAATATGACCAAACTAGACAAATTCAGCTGGGGCACATTTTATAGTCTGGGCTGTCGTGTCTACTAAGCATGGCCAGTCTGCTCCTCTGGTCTTACCTTGGTCAAAAATTCTAACAGTGTTTGAGAGAAAAAATAAAATATAAAGATACATAAAACCCACACATTTAAAAAGACAGAATCAGGTTTTCCAGCTTGCTAGTAAGGATCTGTTTCCCCAAGATCACACCTCACCCATCCTAAAGTGAAAGATGGGGAGTTTGTTTTACCAGCTTCCCCGACCACTTAACGATGCAGACCAGTTAGTAACCCCAGGAGAAGACAGATCTCTAAAAATTTAGAAGGCCATAAGGAGTTTAACCCCTTAAGGACACATGACATATCAGGATTCCCTTTAATTCCAGAAGTTTGGTCCTTAAGGGGTTAACGACAAGTCCTTCTCCCCCCTAATTAGCCATTTTAAGACAATTTTTGCCAGATTAAGTTCTTACGATCCAATGAATCAACTGCTTATTTTAGGTTACTTCACTGCAGAGTAGAGCTCAGGACATCAGACAGTAAAAACTTCCTACACTTTGCTAATCTTGGTTAGGTGCAAGTTATTTTCTATGAAGAAAAGTCACTACACCAGCCAGACTGAAAATTGTAGTATTTTGTCTGAGCTATTTGGGGTGGGGGACAAAAATAAATAAGTTTAACCGCTTTACTACATTAAAGTTGTTGGGACTCACTAGGCACATCTCCCAAGAGACTAGACAGTCTGGCTTTTATAATAGGCTGAGTATTATTTGTCTCATTAGAAATATCCTGTCCTTGCATCTCTTCTCCCACAATGTATAAAAACATCGCTACACTGAATTAGTGAGGTTACAGTTTAAAATGTTATAACAAATTACAAAGAAGGCACTAGGCAAAATATTTCTTGTTTTCTGTTACCAGGAAATAAAACCCACAAAAGTATAAAATGCGAAACATTTATTAAAAAAAAAATAAAAAAAAATAGATATCTGTTTTAATTGAAGTGCATGGTCTTAATAGACTCTTGAGGGGCTTGAATTCCCAGGAATCTTGTCATTTTACCATCAGGGATGTCAATGGATCATATTGCTCAGATGAACAACCTTTGAGATGACTAAACAAAAAAAACAGTTTTAAAAAAGGAGAAAGTAAAAATATTTACAGTTAATCTGGCAGTCATAGTTCAGACATTAGATTTGGTTTTAAGCCAAATAAAACTATTTTTAGCCAGGGACCTGAACACTCAGTTTACATTCAAACCAAGCCGATAACTTGGTAACTGGCTGATTAAGGGACAGAAGTCAGATCTTTAAGTCTGACACTTCATGAGATTCAGGGAGGGGAATATGAGCAATTAATTCCAATAAGAGCAGAGAAAGCCTTGTCCTGGTCTTTGAACTGTGGGAACCTCTGCAAGAATGAGGTCTTTGGATTAAATATCTTTAACGGCATTAAGCAAAGAGCAAGCGTTTGTGGCTCTGCCAATTCCTCCAACAGATACAAGATGTAGGCTATTCATGGTAAATTGTGCCAATCTTTGAGAGTGACTGTGTGGTACAGCCCAGTCTAACATTCTTACATCAAGGTTTAAAAGCAATAAAATGTGCTTCGGTCTGTGCCAAGTAAGTGGTTATATTAACCCTTCAGTTTCCATGTTCTCCCAGAGGTTTAAAAAAAAACCCTGACAACTGCAGCTAGGCTCAGCTATGTTGAAGGAAGTCCTGCGAGTTGGCCTCAGGACACCTAAAGCAGTGATGTTGCACCAGGCACTTGCTCTGCATCATGTTACCCGTTATAGTAACAGAGCCAATGGTAAGCCTGCATTAAGGGTTCTATATTAGTGGCACACAGTTATTGCTTACTCTGTAAGAGTTTAAGACATGTTTGGTTGAGGTCAGTTTTGAGTTCGCTTCAAGGAGTTTTGTCATCGAGCCTCTTCCACAGAGAGAGCTGCTTGGAGAAGC